GGCTCCGCTCGGCCCCGCTCGGGCCCGCTCGGCTCCGCTCGGCCGCGCTCGGCGCCGCTCGGGCTGGCGGCTGTCTGGGCCCCGGGGCGAGAAGCTCGGACCCGCAGCTGCGGTCGCGAGGCTGAGCGACCCAGGCCCAAAGCGAGGCACTGGGGTACCAGCCCTCACGGCCTCCTGGGGCGCCCTGGCATTACCTGACCGGAAACGAACCTTCCTCTCCTCCGTTCTTGGAACAAATATTAATGGAACGCCTTCTATATACCAGGCCTGGGCTTAGCATTAATACAGAGCCTGCTATATGCCACGTATGGGACGAGCATTAATGGAGTACCTGCTGTATATCAGGCGTAGGCCAGCCATTAATGTAGTGCGTGCAGTATACCGGGTATGGACCAGCTTTTAATGTAGTGCCTACTGTGTAACCAAGCATTAATGCAGTACTTGGTATATACTGGGCAGGAAACAAACATTAGTGGAACGCCTACTGTAAACTGGGCATGGACCAGGCATTAATGCAACACTTGCTATATACCAGGCCTCGACCAGGCATTAGTGCAGTGCCTGGTATAATTCCAGGCAGGGAACAAGCATTAATGAAGCACCTACTATAAACCAAGTACTGCCGGGTTGATATGGGAGCATAGCCACACCCATTCATTTAAGGAGCTTGGCTACTTTCACCCTGCACCGGCAGACCTGCATAGTTGCAACAGCCCTAAAATATTTACCATCTGGCCTCTTCCAAAAGGAGACCTAGAAGGAGGCCTAAACACAGGAAGAGCGATGTGTTTTGAATGACGGAAAAAGAAAAAAGCCTGAAATGGAGACCCATTTCACAAATGAGGAAACTGAGGTGCCCTTATGCACAGTTCCCTGACGATGGCACTCCTCCCAGCCATGACCTGGCCACAACACCCACCCCCTCTCCACCTGGCCCTGCCCAGATCCCATCACAAACCTTCCAAGCTGCACCTTGACACACTGTGCTCACCTGTCTTGAGATAAGGGGAGAAGGGAGGGTCAAAGTCTCCATTTATTAGTTGATTGGGACTGAGGAAAGTTTGGTTTCTTGAGACACTCATCTTGGGGGCTTCCATCCCCACCCCAACTGGACACGCAGCCGGAGAAGGGGCCGCTGGGGTCCCCCCACCAATAGAGGAAAGCTCCACTTGAACAAAGAACCCACAACCAGGGAACCTGAACAAAAACATTGGTCTTGGCTCCAATGTCCCCTCCTCCAGGGGAGGTGGTCAGGCCAGGTGTTCCCTGAGCACCCCTTCTGATGACACCCACACCCCACCCCGGCACCACCCTGCTGGACTTCCCCAGGCCCTTTTCATGGACTGAAATCACCTGCTTTCTTCCCTTACTGTCCTGTTCCCTCCCCACCATATTGTAGGGTATCTATGTCCTGATCACTGCTGCATCTAGACCCCAGCCTTGTACACAGTAAGTGCCAGACATGCTGGCACCTGGGACCTGGGACACTTTGCTGCAGTGCTTGCACCTGGAAAAACGTCTCCTCGGGCAACAAAATACCAAGAAACCATAAGGGAACTAAAAATAACTGTGTGCATGCGCAGTTGGGGCAAATTATGGCCAACAAGATACAAAAAGACCAAAAAATCCAACTGTCACTTCTTTTTTTTTTTTTTT